AAAATTTTTTTTTTTCCTTTTTTTTTTTTTTTTTTTTTTTACAATCAGTCCTCACTTGATTTTTTTTGTGTGTGTGTGCCTATTCTTTGCATGTATTGGATCAGTAATTACGTCCTTTCTGTCAACAAATTGCCTAAATTTTGGCATGCTGATGAGCACAATTGTTACTGTTAAGAAGGATATAATATGCAGGTACAGTGTGGCACATTTGTGCAACAGCAGTGAATAACCAACCAGAAAAACAGGCATCTCTATCTAAGCCCCACTTGTAAAAATGATGTAAGTGCCTAACCCACTTTTGAGAATGGAACTTAGGCTCCAGTATTTCTTAAGTGTACTTGGAAATTTTACCATTTATCAAAAACTCTTTAAAATTCCCTTTACTAAGTATACTTTTTGGTATCCTTAAAATCCTAAGGTCCTGCATCTGTTGAACTTAGTAACATTTATTCAAGTGACAGTGTCAAAGGGAAGACTTTGAAATTAATACAGCAATTCATGCTCTTCCCTGGGACCTGACAGTTTTTCAGTTAAAATTTCCTTGACTACTAGATAAATCTAAAGATAGTTATCCAAAAGTTTATCTCTTTAGTCTGAGGTAGAGGCTAATTAATGTAAAAAAAAAAATCAACAATTTTTATTTGTAATCTGCCACGATAGTGTCCAGCTCAAAACTGGAACAGTAAAGCACAGAATTTAAAGCTTTGTTTTTCTTGCTGATGCTGGAGCTAGAGAAACAATACTATGTATTCACATATATATATTTTATATCTTATATTATCTTTAAATCAATTTTCAGATAAGGCAACAGGACCTCAGTGCACTAAGGGCTAACTGCATTTTTTAATTTAAAAATTACTCAATGAGTTACAGGTCAACAGTTTAAAAGGACATAGAAATACTAACACCCAACTTTGATTCTTCTTTCCCAGTTGTCTTGTCTTAGGACACCCGAGGAAACAGAGAGCATTTTTCCCTAATGGGGCTTCTTCAGGGTTTATTAGTTTATTTTGAAATATTCCAAGTGACAGAGCTTCTGCAACTTCTTTTAAAAGACTGTTCCATGGTTTCGTACATCTTGCAGCAAGGACACTTTTATAAACAGGCACTCTAAATATTACCTTCCTTAATTTCATCTTAATACCCATTTGGCAAGTCTAAGTAATTCCTTCTCTTTCTTTGCTATTTTTACGAAAATAGCAACATCCTTCGATGACATGTTCTCTTCTCCATGTTTAAATTTTTTAACCTTTTCTTATAGATCAATCCATATATCCAACTGTTCCATTGTAAGGTTTGTAGCTATTCTCTGAATTTCCTCCAAGTTGACTGTCTTCTGGTATTGAGGCTTGAAGAGTCGAGTATGATTTCAGATGCAGACATAGTTTCGTAGTTGGTAAGGTGGGAAGGGACCTGAGCAGATCCTCAAGTCCGGCCCCCTGCCATGGCAGGAAAGAGTACTGGAGTCAAACGACCCCAGCAAGGTGTTCATCTAGCTCCTCTTAAAGACCCCCAGGGTAGGAGCCAGCACTACTTCGCTTGGAAGTTGGTTCCAGATCCTAGCCTCCCTAACAGTGAAGTAGCACCTCCTGATATCTAGCTTTAATCTACCCTCTGCCAGCTTGTGACTGTTATTTCTAGTCACTCCTGGTAGCGCTTGGGGGAACAAGGACTCCCCCAATGCCTGCTGGTCCCCCCTGACCAGTTTGTAACAGGCCACTAGATCCCACCTCAGCCTTCTCCTGTGGAGGCTGAACAGGTTCAGGTCCCGTAGCCTCTCCTAGTAGGGCCTGCCCTGCTGACCCCGATCATGTGGGTGGCCCTCCTCTGGACCCTCTCCATGTTGTCCACATCCCTCCAGAACTGGACACAGTACTCCAACTGTGGCTTGACCAGTGTCGCATAGAGGTGGAGGATCACCTCCTTGGACCTGCTTGAGATGCATCTGTGGATGCATGACAAGGTACAGTTGGTCTTCCTAACCGAGTCCCCACACTGTCAGCCCGTGTTCATTTTGGCATCAATAATGACTCCAAGATCCTTTTCTGCCTCTGCAGTGACAAGAAGGGCGTTCCCCAGCCTGTAGCTATGCTGCTGGTTCTTCCTCCCCAGGTGCATACTAGAGCAATACTGAGAGGCACTTTCAGTCTTCCTGGTCTGAGAACTTCTGTATGTATATCCAAAAAAAAAGGCTAAAATAATTTTTGAGCTGTCGAAGTCTCAACACAGAAGCAACCTCATCTGGTGCACAGGTATCTCTCCCTGCATTATGCCCTTAATAGATTCACGTAAGAGAGAGGTTTTTTCACCCAGTTAGTTTGAAGATATACCATACTTTCTCGCATTCAACATCCACCTTTCCCTTCCAACATGTACCCCTCCACTCCAAAAAAATGTTGGGACATGTTTTAAGTGGGAAAGCTGGTGTGGGGAGGGGGTTGGCTAGAAAAGAAGCAAACCTGAAGACATTGTGCATGGCATGCAGTCAGGGCTGTCCCTGGGGCTGGGGGGAATGAATCGGGGTGACCACCCCGAACCCCATGCTTGGGGGAGCCCCACAGAGCTGAGCATAGCGGCCACAGCCCCTCCTGCAGGGTCCACCTAGTGCTGGTAACTGCATTGCTGCCACCACCGCCAGCTTTGCGTCTGGCCATTCACCCTGCCCACCTGCCAAAGTTGCCGACGACTTTGTATCTGGGCCCCGCACCCTGCTAGGGTCATTTCTGCATACAGCCACCAAAATGTTAATCCTCTCAGCTGTGGTTATTGGCTGCTCATTGTAGTTTGTGCCTGAAGCCATAAGTGAGCTGCTGGTAGTATCTTGATGAGGCTTGTGACATGGAAACAATATCTTATTTGCAGGAACTTATATAAAGAACTACTTACTGTAAAGAACTAATGTTTTTGCTGCTGCCCTTGCAAGGGTCATCTTGGGCCTAACTTTGTGTGACATGAAGTAAATCCTCCTGAAAACACAATGTCCAGGAAGTGTGGCATCCCAAGAAACAGTCTGGGTAAAGTAGTAGGCACCAGCAGATTCTTGATACCACACTTCCTAGATATTCTGTTTCCCAGGAGGACTTACTCTGTTACATAATCAGCCATGACTGGAATAATATTTTTTTCTATGTCCTGCTTTCTAAAAACAAGGTGTGTATTTGCTTGGGGTAGAGGGGTGGATGCTGTATGTGGAAAAAATATGATATTTTGCAGCCCATTATGTCCCTACTGTTTCTTTTACTCTTGACTACAGCTGAAGCAGATCAGATATGTAGAGCTTCAGTTTCAGCATCCTTTTGCATAAAATTCTTCCTTCCCTCACACCTGAGCAAACATCTTTAGGAAAGCCAGTATGTAAATTACCTTGACTAGATTATTGTTCCTCTGGTCAGGAAACCCATTTGTCATGGTCAGTTATGTACCTACAACCCATCTGCAGGAATACTGTGTAGTGAACAGTGAACGCATGGTCCCTTTGAACTGCATTCTTGACCACTGGGTCTGCCAGATATTTCCTCTAGCTTAAAGAGCATTTCCTGGCCATATTTTTTTGAAGTTCCTAGATGTATGATTGCCTATTGTCTAAGGCTTTCACAGATGGCTCAGTCTACTCCAGTCACATAAATTGTGCATCAGAAATTATGAAGCCTTATCAGAACAGAGTATTTTCCTTTTATTTTTTATCTTTGTGATCTAAATTGGGATTTCAGTTTTGGTCTCAAGAGATGAAAGTTTAGCCCAATGAACTTTGTGTACGGTCTGTCACCCTCTGAATATGTAAGTTAATACACAGTCTATATGGTAAGTGGCACTCCATTAACACCATGGATCACATGAATGGTGATTTTTTTTATACACTTGAAAAGTGGCTTAAAAATTAAATTGCATTATGCAAGCACTGGATGTAAACCCATAGTACAGAGTATATTTTTACCTTAAAGCAGAGATGTATTTGTTATGCAAAAAGAAAATGTTTCTTATGTTTACAGTGTTTACTTTGTACAGGAAGAGTTACTTGAGGTAAATCCATTGTCTAGTCGGAGCTGAAATTAACTTTAAATTGACTTTTTAAGAAATTTGACATTCATTGTTGGATCTCTTGAGCAATCTGTAACAGACTGTTCAAACTTTTGATGTAGTTAAACTGCATGCAAAGAAATTATGTTCTGATTTTTGTCAGGTTTCATGGTGACTATCTAATAGACTAGACAGGATCAGTTAATAGCTTAGTTTATTCTTAGTGTCATGGTGATGCAGGTAATTCAGCCAATTTGATCTTCTCTTCCTATTGATTTGCTTGTTGCAGTTCTGTTCATTGAAATGAATTGAAGGGGAGAGATAGTGGATGCATGTCAAGAATTCTCATACTTGGATTACTTGCTCCTTACAGCTATTGCTGCAATTCAAAAACTCCGTAGCCATATACTAGTTTTTAGTTTTCATCAGAGGGAAATTGGATGGGATCAAAAAATTCTCCTTCTCTGGTAGTAGATAGTCTCTTATGCTCACTCCAGCCCCTCTGTTCCTCGCAGCCCCTCTGCACCTCTCCAGTTCTTTGTCACCTCCTCCTGCTCATCCCAGATGTAGCTGCTTCCCTAACTGTTCCTTGTAATATTATGTGCTTGTGTCATCCCTTGGTCTGTCGGCTACAATTTGTCTGCTTACCTTCCCTTTGCAAAGACCTTTTACATGCCTCATTCCCTATTTTGCCTAGTCAGTGGGAGCTTTGATAAAGAAGAAAGATAACCCTATTTTATCTACTCTGGTAAATTTACCTATATATTTTAAAAGATTATAAAGAGGAATCTGTGTCACAACAACTAATCTGGCGTATCAATTGAATGTTAAGAGTCAAATATTTCTGGCTGCTTTGTATTGCTTTCTTGATGCAAAACAGCTTCAAATCCACCTTAACTGGCCTGATGGCTTCAAATATGCATACTGTTTTGGATATATTGTTGCAAATCCACCAGAAGGCAAACTTCAGATGTTACAAAATTGATTCTGCTCATACATTACCCATGTACCTGGAACATTAGGAGAAAAATATTATGTGCAGAATCCTCTTGCTGTGTAAATGGAAAGAGATAGTAGGAAAGGACAAGCCAATGTCTTGCTACATCTGCTAGAAGGGCAGAATAGACTAACAACTTGGTGCTTCAGGATGGAAGTTGTCAGAAGTGTGGATTCATTTTTGAAGGCAGATGGTTGGGACTTCCTTATGGCATAAGAAACAATCGAGATGAGACTTTTTTTGTAAGTTTTCATGGTGCCCATATCTAATAAACTAGACAGTCAATGAATAGCTCAGCTCATTCTTAACTAGTGTCATAGTGACACGAAGTAATAGAGGAGACATAAGTACAACATAAAGCATTCTTAGCCAGAAATGAATACCATATTTTCTTACAACAGTTTCCTCCCAAAAAACAGCTGTTGGAAATTGCAGTGTTCATTATACACAAGAAATATGGTAAGAACAGCTTCTGCTCGTTATAGGCAGAAATGAAAGTAAAATCTGCCAGGATTCACTGGGACCAGAACAATGAGTAGGCTACTGCTGTCTAGTAGCGTGCCTTCTAAGCTATGCGTGTGCACGGCTGTACACAATAAAAAATAATGCCGTGCACACAGTA